AGCAGGAATCACGATCCAACGTTCTCAACATAGTTAGCAGGATAGAGTCCAACTTGGCCAGTGAGAAGTCGGCCCTTGCACCAGCCCTGCTCATCTTCCTCACTAATCTTCATCAGTTCTTCACCTAAAAGCAAAAACAGTCATTAGGAAGCAGCCTTGGGAAAGGCAGCATGGCATTTCTCCCCCTCCACCCCTCAGAAGAGCAAGACCTATTGGTCTTAATCACCACACTTTCCCCCCACCCTTATCACACTCTATATCATACTGCACTTTAATCAAAGCCACAGTTACTGACCTCTTCAGTATCTATACTCAGTACCATCCCCTAGGCCAAGGAACTTAAACAAACCTTCACTTTTGCTCTTCAACATCAGAAATATTTTTGTGCCCTGTATTTCTGCCTGCATTCCTCCCCCCAGAGGAACATGCTTACAAGCCAGAGAGATCGGAAAGAAATCTATTTCTTTAGGCTCCTCTATAGCAGGTGGTAAGGAAACACAAGAGGCTGGTAAGCTCTGACTGTTAGGGCCCAAAATGACTACTGCATGATGGAGTGTCTGGTTTGGCCAGCAAGGCATGGAATCAACTCATTTCTCAGACTATGACCAGGAAAGGCTTTTAACCTTCCCACATCTACTTTGGGAAAGGGCAGAAAGGTCATCTTCTCCACCAGTAGAAGGTCATACTTCTACCAGAGAGGGAGGACTGACTGCATCAGTAAGTACATCCCACACTGGGAGAGGCTCAGAAAGAAAGTCATCTGCTGTTAAGCTTAAGCCCTCCTGGTGCATGCTTTTCAGAGCAGATTCAAAAAGGGGATGACTAAAGCTAACCAGTCATGCCTCATTACATGTGCTGGGCGGAAAGAGAGAGCAAAGAGTCAAATTCTAGAGCACCCATATTGTAAGCTATTTTAAAGCAACAAGTTAATGTTAGGAAGTTTACTAGTATGATAACACTGCAGCATAGATATTGGCCTCAGGCACAAGCCCCTGCTACTGAAGGACTTCAGTGCCTTTTTAAAAGGGGTATATTTTGGAGAGGTATAGCACAGAGATACCAGATTGGAGACACTCTCAAGATCCAAATGTCCTATTGGAGTTGGAGAAGATGGCACATGCAAACTAAATTTAACTGAAGGAAGAAAAGGGGAAGGGTCTGTTTGCTCCAGCATTCTCTCTCACTCAATCCTCTGCTGGAAGCCAAGATCTCCACGCTCAAGATACCCATTTTGAGCAACAGTTTGCATAGCTGTTTTTTGCTAGCTGAACTCTGCCTTCAGTAGTGCATGTCAGTCAGCCGACCTTTCTCCCAAAGCATCTATCTTTTGGTTACTTCAAAGGACAATCCAGACAACCTATATAATTTTTGTATCAAGGGCACAAGGGAGAAGCATTTAATAAAGTCTGAAGATACAGTACAGAATGAATGCCTTAAGAGGAGGCAGGAAGGATCTGTTTTACCACTTGGGGTCTGTTCTCCCTACGCTGTGACCAAGGCCTAGGCAGTCTCTTTTTATGTGGCCTCACTGTCTTAGTCTAGAACAGGTTGGACTGTCCAGTGTATCATCCACCTCAGAGGAGCTGGCAATAGGTCAGGCCAAGGGAAGAAGAATAAGTATCAGTTTTCAGGGGGACATTCAGTTCTTAAAGAGTGTTTCAATCATTCAGTCAGCCCCAGTGGGGACAGCAAAAGGTTAGTAAGAGATTAGTGCTTCTGTACCTGCTTTAAAGCTCAGCTCATCAGCCTCCTGTCCTGTGTAATCATACAGCGCTCGTACCCGTACACCTGGTACCTTTATGTCCTCCTCGTGCCCATTGGCATCCAGGCACTTCTTGGGAGTGTCCTCATCTGACCACTCTGAAATGTCTTCCTTCCCTCCGCTTTGTATGTGGAAGGAGAGAAGGGACAAGATGGTTGTTAGTAGACTCATCTCTCACTCACCTCCTCCTGAATCATGCACCACCCTGACTGCCCCCAAGACTGCTATGCTATAGAACGAGGTGCAAGAGGCCCAACAGCCAAGTGAGGGTGAACAGGGAGGAGAGGTACCAGGAAAGGCTACATTTGGCTGAAAGCATCCCAGCATTAGAGCCCTGGGGGCCAGAAGGGTAACTAATTCTCAAAGTATTTTCACACATGCACACTCGTCATGACCTCATCCTACTCTAGCAGACCCTCTCACACAAGGAAGGCTGGAGATCCCAGCTATGTCCAGAGTTATTCCATTCAAGAATAAGACTGACAGAAAAAACCATGTCTCCCATCCCGAAGAGACATGTCTGGAATGCTGTTTTCCCAAGTCAGGAACAGGAGCAGAGGGGAAGAGCAGCAGAGGACAGGCACCTGGAACCCAAAAACCCCTGAAGAGGCTACATTCCATACTAACTTCACATAGGTGGGTGCCCTCAGTCTGTCATAGAAGAGGCTGTTCTGCTCCTCTCGATAGGAAAACCTGTAGATTGGCAAACAGGGACCCTGAATCCAATAGACTGTGAAATACAGTAGTGGCCTTGAGACATCTCTATATCCCCATTCTTTTCTGCCCAGTTTACTTAGGCGAGAGTTCAGCTTTTAAACCAGGATGGCTATTAGAACTGTAGGACTTGAGTGTCTTCAGCCTCTTCCTATTCTTGAGATTGCTTCCTGGCAAAGGAAGCAGCTATACTGAATTGTCAGGTATAGTACTCAGAACCATGCCAGAAAAAAACAAAAAACCAACAAACCACCACCACCCCCCCGCCCCGACTGAAAAAACACCCTGATGCCTGCATTTAGGAAACAGTACAGCTAACTGCCAAAGCTGCCAGTTCCCAACTCTCCTCACCTGTCTGGGAGGAAGAACTGGGGAAATGCATGCCAGAATCTCACACAGCATTAGTCTCATGAGGCCAGATCTCATCACTAGAAGAATCTTTACAAGGAAGGCGCCTTGTGAGGCAGTATGTACTAGATCAAAAAAGCGTGCTACCCAAAACCCCCTTTTCTACCCTGTCATTTCCAGACTGGCATGAATGAGCAAGGCCATGGGCAAGAGACAGGAAGTTAAGGAAGAGATCAATCCTATCAATCCAACTCATTCATGACGCTAGGTGGGACTGTACTTTTCCTAACCTGATGTATCCCAGACTTCAGCTCTTACCTTCGCTTTGTCTGCAGAGGGGTCTGAGAGACAACACCATCCCGTGTAGGCAAAATGCTGGTCAGCGTGACATCATCAGCCATCTTGCCACTCTTCTCCTTCTTGGTGATTGGCCGTTGTGTTTCGAGGGACCATTCCTGTTCAGGGAAAAGCAATATACCATCAAGGCACTCAGATAAGATTTTGTTTCTGGCCAATACAGGAGGACAGAACACCAAGTCACACTTCAGTTGTGGGTGGGCTTGTTAGCCAAATGGCCTTGCTGGTGTAGCAGGCTCACTCCTGTTGAATCCCAAGGTGCAACAAGTGGGGCTGCGGGAAGATTATAACAGGACCTTGTCCCAAGGCCCTGAGCACCAACTTCTGTTCTTTGACCTTGCAGCTGGATGGCTGGAGTATTTGTGGTGTGGTAGGGTTGCACGTGTCCCTTTGGGCACCAAAAGAGCTTACAACACAACAAACACTTTCAGAAGAGCCTAACATCCTGAGCCTGCTGAGCAAAGATATGGTCTTTCCAACACAAAACTAGTAATCCACCAATTTCAGTAAAGCAGCTAGATGTTTGGAAATAGTAATAACACACTTTAAAATGCTACGTCACCTCAAACTGAGGCCAATTCATTGCCATGCCTGGTCCGTGAGTGTTGCGCCACCACTTCAGGTCCTCCTGGTTGTCTGCAGCCATAATGATTTGGTAGAGATCTCGATACAACGCATGAAAGCTATGGCCAGGAACAGACAGAACCATCAGTAACCAAGTCCCTCAGCAGTTCCCCAAAAACCAAGTAGGAAGGAAAAGTGTAACTTCACGCACAATTACATAGCATCCAAAGTCCCACAGGATTAAGGATGCTAGAGCAGCACCTGTTCAGCCCTAGGAAAACAGAGCCACCCTTACAGAAGGGTCAGCCTGGCAAATGGGACAGGCTTGTTTGGTGTGCCCATGGCTAGTGTCTGCCAGCTCTCTGCACAGCTCATCAAATAAGCACTGAAAGAGCCTGGCACATTCTTGCCCACAGACAGGGACGTGGCTCAGATTTGTTGCCTCCACCTTAAAAGTATAGGAGCAGAGAAGATTTTTGGCTGCACCCATTTCCCTGGTGTAACCCCTACTTAAGGGCAACTTGTGGTCTTACGGTTATCATTATCTCACAAAAGGTCTCTCTACTCAGGGCAGAATGGGTATAATAGCCAGAAGGCAACAGAGCTGCATTCCTCAGACTGGGATTACATGTAGCAACATGGAGGCATTTCACAGAATAGAAACACACCCACAGGACAGTACTGGAAGAGGAAAGTTCAGAGGCAGAAAGAATCCTCTCTGGGGAGCCTGGCACTATTCAAGATAAGAGACACCAGCACTGGTCAGTCTAAAGGGACCAAATGCCAGTTCTCAGACACACTTGGAAGGGGAAGGAGCAAGATCAGCCTGATGTAAGCAGGTAACTCCCTTTCAGACACCAGAATTGGCACCAGAGCCCAGGGCACCCCAGGCTAGCAGACATCCCTCCTGCATCAGGGCTGGTACCTTTCAGCGGTGGAGAGGTTGAGATGCTGGTGCAGATTCAGGAACATCTCCTTAAAGAAGCACAATCGCTTGCGCTCTGCTTCCTGACAGCCCTCAAACACTTGCTCCATGTCCTCCATGTAGCGGGGATTGTAGCGGTTTAGCTCTTCCAGCATTTTCTCATATTGATCCTTGCACTGTATCAACCCAAGAGGACAGCAATAGTGAGATGTGTTGCCTTGATGTCAAACCAGTGACACTCCCTCTGCTCTGGCTTGGGACTGACAAGTTTTTTCCCCCTGCACTCCTGAACAAATACAGCATAGAAGAAATCCCACAGCTGGTATCCCAGTCCACTGTTCTCCTTATAGTCTTGCAAGTTCCTTGTTCTTCCTTGCCACCCTCTTCCACAGAGAATCTTCTGCACTTTCACTCTTGTGGGCAGGCAAACCAGTCACTTTGGGTAGCCAAGTCTTCAGCTCTGCAGCTCCAACCCTCTGTACCAAATCCAACCCGCCCCCCCCCCCTTTTTTTTTTTACTTACTTATAAATTAGATCTTACCCAACACCAAAGATAGAGACCTTAATCTTAGTTGCTGAAGTCCCAGTCTTAACTTGCTAAAACCTCGACAATGGGATCTCACACCTCCTTCAGGAGCCATTTCACTGAGTGACATTCACAACCAGTGCTTTTTCCTTGAGAGGAGTATCCTTGTGACCCACATCCATACAACATACACTCACCTTCTCAGCCTCCTGAGTGCACTTATCTACACGCTCCTGCAACTTGCGCAGCTGTTCCTGAGAGACAGACGAGTCTGCCTTGGCATGGTTCTCCCTTGTATGGGCTGTTTTCTCCTCCTTCCGGGCTGCATGATAGTTTTTCTTAGAAGTCTCCACCTGTAGGAGGAGGATGCAGAGAAAGCCATCGTCCTGACCACATTGATCCTCCATTACTCAGAGAGGGCATATCAACATTTGTTACAGTCAGCAGCAATTGTTCTGGCACAACCTAATAGGAATGCAAATTTGGCATTTAGTAAATCATGCTCCAAAGGGAAGAGGTACCTCCAAATGATCTCTTTCAATGCTCACCTGCTGTGCAGGAATACAGAGCCTGTTACCAAAGTCTTCCCACATGGGAAGGAAGCTACAAAACCACCAAAACCTAGAGACCATCAAGACATCCCTCCCTCTCTGGCATTCTCTGCTACTCTGGCCAAACCCAGTTCATTTAGCCCAGTGTCTCACAATCAGGCAGCCAGCTCAACTGCCCTTATCCCTCCTTCCCCATTTCACACTTTGCTCACGTCTTTCATCTTCTTCACCCAGGGTTTCTGGGCCTTGCGGAACCCATCTTCTGCCTCCTTTGTCTCCTTGAAGCCTCCAATCATCTGCTTGTGGTAGGCCTCCTTCTGCCAGGCCTTGATCTTATCTGAGTCTTCGCCAGCCAGGTGGTTCCGGACAGCTAAGTGAATTTCACTCAGTTTGTCTGCAGCTGTCAGGAAGGCATGCCAGGCCTTCTCCAGAGTACCATATTGCGGACCTGCAGGAACAAGCACCAGAGTGGGTCTTACACCTCCTGCCCACAGAAAGGAACGCAGATTCTTTTCCTCCCACACACATCTATCGGTATGGAGTCAATTCCTTAACTCTCTCCTATCACACAAGTCAGCATTGACTGGTCTCCACACAGACCCAACAGGCAGCATCTAGACTGGCTGTTAGAGCTGGCCGAAACAAGCATTCCTTTTGGGCAGCCTTAGCTGTCCCAGATGGTGCCTGCTAGGAGAAGGTTTCTGTAGAAAACTCTGTTGACAGATCTGGCCTGAGCTTCAGGACGGACAACACCACTAGTTCATGCCTGAAGCTAAGTTTCTGCTTCACAGACCAGTAGGTCCTTCGGGGCATCTGTCCCAGTGTTTCCCATTACTTTGTGAGACGCTATCAATTTGAGCCCACTGCCAGTAAATCACAGCATTAGTAGTTATTCTCTGACTGGAGGAGAAAGAGAGACAGCCAAACCATCCTTAAAAGGGAAGATCTGCAGCTTGATTTAAGACTTGGACTGCCCAAGGACTTGCCAAACTAAACAAATACTTGTTTTTTTAATCAAACACGTGACAATGCACAGAACAGCTCTCCAAGTGAGTGAGAGAACTGGCTACAAAAAAACCCACACATACAAAAGACCCACAACACAAAAGACATCCAAGAAAGTCACACCCTTTCTAGAGAAGGGAAGCCTATCCCCCAAAGAAACAGCATCACCTCAATAAGAGAGAGAGCACTCAAGGAAGAAAGTGCAATGATCACATCCTGTTCCCAGTCCAACCTGCCAACTTTACCTTTCTCCACATTGGTCCTCCACTTACGGGACCATTCTGTTAGCTGCTGGGCATAGTTCTTCTCTATCTTGGCTCGCTCCTGGAAGCAGGAGATCAAGTCATTGCAGAGCCGGTACCCATCATCCACACGCTTCACTGTCCGTCTGTAGTTTCCAGCCTAAAATTTCACACAACATCATCATTTATACTGTACTGACTTTCATGTTCTTTCAGAGCAGAGAGCAGCAGGTCAATTACTGCATGGGGAGGGAGCACAGGTCCTTCTGAAGGCAGCAGCTGGGCTCAGACCCTCCTCTGACACTCTCTCAGGCAGGCACAGAAGTTGAGGAAAGAAGCTGAGATGCTTTGCTTGCCTCTCACAGCTCAGATCAGTGTCAGCTGAACAAGGAACTCTCACTCCACAGCATCTGTGGAGGAAAGGGTCACCTCCTCCCTGCAGTAACACACAGCATGTTACTGAACCTCCCCACAGTTCCTCCCTTCCACTCCCCAAGAGCAACATGTCACCCAGGAACCTGAAAGTCAATTCCCTAATTCCACAAGTGGGAGGTAAGACATTCCTACCTCCCTCAAACTCCGATTATCCTTCCTTACCTCCCAGAAACTGCCCCCAGGAGCCTCCCCACCAGCATCATCTTCTGATGACATCACCCCTGTTTTCTTGCAGCAGAGAATTTTTGCAGATTTCAGTTAAGCTGGGAAGAGAAAAAAGGGATTTCTAACATAGCACTGGCTGAGCCTTTGCAGAGAGCACGTTCTCCATGACTCTTGGAGCTAGAGGAGCCCAACTTATTGCCCTGCAGGCAAGTACTGCCATCAGTGCCCCTCTAGCAGCAGATGGCTAGATCCCACAGACATGCCCAGGACTGAACCTGCCCACTCCCTCCCTGCAGATGGCCTCCTTGGCAGGCCTGTAGCACCTTGGGAAAGGATGTTGTAGAAGACAATCTTGCCAAACCTCAGCTGTACAGATATTGGAGATGCTAGTGAATCCAACACCCTTCAGCAGCACCAGCCATCTCTGCAGAGATTGCTTTCTTAACCAAGGCCCTCAAGACTGTAGCAAAAGCTACAGAAACTGAGGTAGCTAAAGCTACTTGAAATCTGCCTTGAAAGACTTTAAATAAGTCTTCTGTCAATGGAGATGACTCCAGCTTCCCAGTATGACTCGGGATTATGGGATTACAACAACTGACTGGAGAAAACAAGGCTGAGCAGTCAGCAGACAGGCATGTCTTGAATAGGGAGGAACCCTATAAGCTGCCCACCAGCTGAGCCGGGCTTGAGCAGAACTACAGAAACACGCTGCGGCATACCCAGCCACATGGCACTGCAGCACACATGCCGGTTACCCAGCAGCACTGCTTCCCTAGAAACATTGCTGTAGAGGTGGTGTTTTCATTATGCTCAACTATCACTGCATCACAACTCAAAATCTAGGCTAGAAGGTAAAAGGTTTGTCTCATCCTCTGTTGTCTCAGGACTTTTGCCCATTCCCCTGTGCTAATCTGTGCTGCCAGCTTGTTCCTGACATGGTGTGACACTAGGAATTCCTTGGGGAGAAGTTCAGGGTTGCTCTTGTTCAGGAATGAGAGGGAGTAACAGAAAAAGGCCCAAGCCCAGTCACTCACACACAAACCTACTCCATTCTAGGCAACCCTGGGTTAATGCGGCATAAACGTCCTTTGCTGCCACTTCTCCTCTTGCACATTCCTAGTTATAAAAAGCCTCCCTCACACCCCAGAGAGGTATCTGCTCATTCTGCCAGCCCACAGAGCACACGACCTGATCTCTGCTAAGAGTTCACATATCCCACCTCCTCCAAACGCTTCTCGGTGGCATGAGCCACACTGTGAAGCACACCAACACAGACTGCAGGCATTTCCTACGTTTCTTCTGGAAACAGTTTGGCTCTGTTTGCCCAAGTCTCATCCCATGGAGAGTGTCAGGAATACATTAACGCTGTTCCTCTGGGTTTCTCCAGAAGACTGAAAGTACTGAATTTCAGTCACAGAAGCAAGTTGTTAAATGGGACATGACACTCAGGTGCACAAACCTTGAAACGTGAAGAACACCTCCACCCATGCCACCAGCTGTTCCTGTCCTCCCTCCCCACCATTTGTCAGCAGGCTACAAAGCTATCTTATGCGCCTCCAGGGCAAGCAATTCTACTCTTGTCTCCAGTAACTACATACCTGAAAGCTGAAAGTGAGATGCCGCAGGGGAGCAGTGGCCAGCTGGCAAGTATGTCCTGAGCTCTTCAAACTCCGTGAAAAAGACTGAAGGAGACAGAGATGGGCACAGTTAGACACTGACACTGCTTTGTGGGGATGCTGCCTGTTCTGATGCATTGCAATCCCAGGGGTGTCCCCCTTCTGCCAGCTACTAGGAGGGGCACCCTCTAATACAGCAGCTGCAGCCACTGTGCCTCCCCGAGATGCCACGTTCCAGCACGTAGGAGAGATCCCAAATCCTTGTGTCACAAGATCCAGCCCCAGAGAGGGTGAAAATAGAAACATTGGGGCGGCATGACAGCACTGTGCGGGAAAGGTAGCATCACAACAGCTGAGCAAAGAGAACAGCTCAGGCCAGAGGCGCCTAAAATAAGCATGTTCCTCAGGCACCGTACATGGGGCCTGGTCCCCGCTCACTGTACAGTGTCCAGTTTAGCAAACCCCACTGCCTCCATGCACTGCTGCCCACACTTTTATGCATAGCTGGCTTTGGGAGAAAAAGGGAAAGATACACACATACACCTTTCTCCAGTCTTTCTTTACTAAAGATGAAGAGGATTTATATACAAAACAAAGGACTTTATAACTCTACATTTAAAAAATAAAAAACTCACAAGAATGCATATTCTGGTCTAGAGGCCTCGAGTCCTTTTAGTAGCAGAGCACCTAGCACTGCCCTGGTAGGATGTGGCGCTCTACCAGCAGAGCTTTTTGTCCCTTGGTTCTGTAAGCTGTCCCCATCACATTCTCAGAAATACTTTATTTTGCTATTATGGTATAGGTAACTCATCAACTTTCCACAAAGGAAAGGGAAGTAAAAGGCCTGCAGAGGCTAAGGGAAGTGAGGGCAGAAAGAGGCATTTTTGTTCACCTCACATTCACTTCCCTGAAGATTTACTTCAATGTCAAAAGTCTATTTAAAAGACAAACAAGCAAAAAACCCTTCTGCTCAGTCACTAATATCCACTCAGCTGAGGCTGGAAGATTAGGGCAGCTGAGAGTTAATACAGCCAGAGCAGAAACTACAAAACCTGGAAGTGGGATTTTTAGTGAGGTAAAGACAATTTTGCAGAAGGGGTAAAAGCAGGTAGGAAAAGAGAAGGCAGTAAAGGAAAGCGGACTGGGTTATTGCAAACAGACCAGGGACCTTTGGTGAAGAAGGGGTAGGGGGAAAAGAGTTGGGACAACTCTTGGTTAAAAAGTTATAGCTCATCATAAGCCTTCTAAGACTTCCCAGTGGTCCCTAGTAAAAGCAGACTACACATTCCTGAAACTGCTAAGATTAAAAAAAACTTCATGAATAGTTATGTAAAAATATACTTAAATCTGCCCCAGATCCTTCCTTTCTTTCTCCTGATTAAGATACAGATCAATTAGATATGACACATGAAGGCTGTATCACTTTTTCCACCCCACCCCACACCCCCATCCCCACTTTATCAGGAAGCAATGAATCACAAACATGCCTTCCATCTCTGGTTTCCAATTCCGGCTGACTACATAGTGCTAGAATTTGGGGGCAAAATGTGGAAAACTGTTGTGTGTTAGAGTGTGCTTGACTCATTTGAGTCAAGGAAAAAAAAAAAAAAAAAAAAATCAAACTAAGACAAAAAACCCAACACCAAAACGAAACCCAAATCCATTATTTTTGCAATTTTCATGTTAAATTTGAGCGATACCTACTTATTTTCTGAGGAGTTACAAACCCAAATAACTTGATTTACTACCACTAAGATCAACAGCCTCTAAGATAAAATAGTAGCTGCGCTGGATCAGACTAAGGGTCCTCATAGCCTCTGTAGACAGCAGCCAAAAGCAGATACCTTCCCTCGCTTTGAGGGTGGAACACGCATACATGATGCCTCCCTGCACGCTCTCCAAGCCTCTAACCATTTGTTGACAGGAACTTCCCGAGCTGGATGTGGCGCCTATGAATTTAGTAACACTCAATGGACTTCTCTTCCATTAATTTCTCCAATCTGCTTTTGAATCCACACAAATTTTTAGCATCCACAATATCATGTAGCAAAGTATCCCACAGCTTAAGGCTATAATGTAGTTGTCAGCATGGTAGCTAGGTGGGAGAATACAATACATCAGTATAATATTTCTACAAGCTAATCTCCATGACCTGAGTAGCAGCCAGTCGAATACATATTTCCATAGCAATTGTGCAGACTCTGTAGAAGTCCAGAAAAATCTAGCCTGGTAGAAGCAAAAAGGTCAAAGAAGGAGAACCCTTCTCTGCCAGGCTTTTTCTGGACTTTACATACTCCATGAGCCCATGTGAGTCAGTAGATCAAATTGGATCTGCATGCAGACATAGGGAAGGTACTTAGTGCTGCATACAGGGGCTGAAGAACAGCTGCTGCTGCTGTCACCCAGAGCCCTGGAAGAGCAAATAGATTGCCATTCGACCCCCTCATGCCTAGTTATTCCCAAAACACTGCACGTGTCGTAAGCCACCAAGAGCTTGAGATCAGGGAAAACATGAGTTTGCCAGGAAAAGCAAATACATGAGTTATACATGCAAAAGCCTGGAGGTTGTTTTACAGCAAGGTAGAGATGACAGGGCTACCTTGTGGTCAGCCTGATAGAGCAAGAGCCACCACATGATTCATGAGGGCTGGCAGAGCCTGTATACGCTAAGTAACATAGCTGGAGTTATAATGGGTCAGATAGAGTTATAGCACTACGTACAAGACTCTTTCTGATGCCAATGCCACCTCTGCTAAGAGGAGGCTATCTAGCAAACCATATTTGCAGGGCAAAGGAATGTTCATCCCCACCTTCCTGCCTTCCTCTTTCAGCTATCAGAGTTAAGAGCTACTTGAGACCTCACTGCAGCTCCTGCACGGCAAGCTCTCTGAAAAAGGAGGGAGAGAGTAACTACATCTCTATTCACATCACACCTCTGCAGGATTATGGACAAGGACACTACAGACACCACTACAGCCAGCAACGTCAGGTACACAAACTGAACCATGCAAATGAGATTTCTGCAGAGCTACAACCCTTTCTGCTAGTAGCATTAAAAATGGTACGTCCCTCCTTCCCCTAAATACCTGCTCTCACTTATGACCAACATAGTTATTAGGCCACACCTGCTATTAACTCCCTACAAAGTCATCAAAAAATGGCTCTTGGTCTTTAGCTGCAGAAAGGTAGAATGGCTTACGAATGCCTCACTGGTACTGAGCTCCACTCAGGGAAACGCCAGAGGGCTTGTCATGGCAGAGCTGTTTTCTTTCACCTTTAATCATGATGTTAATCTGCCCCCTGCTCCAGTCAGTCACACATCTCAGACCACAGATCCCTGCCCACAGACCAAGGTGTCAGGCTAAAACCTTACCTTTCAAAACATGTGCATCTGCCAACACACTACAAGGTATGTCTTTTGGTTTCGTGTTTGCACAACATGAGTACAACAGGGTCCTGATCCACAAGTAAAACTT